AGTACCGGTAGGGGATGGAGACTGTAGAAATTAAAAGCGGGACGTACAATAGACTATCAGTCGCGGTGCATGGGGAAACCCACCCCCTCAATACTGAATCACTGAACTATGTGATAAATCTTCAGGTCCCAAAACACAGATTTTTTAATCAGTTGAGTAACGCTTCTCAGTTCCTGTGCTATGGATTATGCGCACGCGGCTGCAATACTGATGTTACTGATGGCAGAAAATTAGAGGGTAGGCCTACCCAAGTAGGATGGCCTCATGACCTTTAGTGGAATGATGAATAAAAGGTAAAAAAAAGTAAAGCTATCCCTGCAACAGACCGTGGAGGCCTATATGGTTGTGAGACGTCGAGGTTCCCACATTTTCTAGACAGTCAGCTCACAGATGGCGTTGAGGTTGTCAGCGTTACGCACCGGCCACCTCTTACCCCCAGGAAGATTCCTGGTACTCGTTTCTTCTACAGGCTGAGTCGACCCCAGGGCCATAGTGTGGCAGGAAGGGTTAGGTTTATGGAAAAATCCAATGACTTCACTAACTACGTTACCGCGTGCCACTGTTTTATGAATATTATTCAAGATTATGGGGGAGGCTCTTTTTATAAAATGAAAGAAAGCTAATGACCTACAATATCTGACATGTGCGTTAGTGAAAAAAAAATTGGAAGGATGCAGCAAAAGGAGGTCTCAGTTGCACTTTTTAAATGTGTGATTTGCTCAGTGCTGTTGAAAATGGTTGAAGTGTAAAATACATTAAAAACATCGAAGTATTCTAAGCAAGACGTTGCTATAAAGACAGCCCTCAACAGACTTGTGCTAATGGAAACGGGAGTGNGGGGCCCAACTGAGTAGGTTAAACCTTCCCTATCCACCTGAAGACGGAGACAGATCCAGTCTCCGAAACGTCGTGGGTTTTTTTTCTTTTATATACCGGACGATGGGTGAAGTCCAAAATAAGCCAAAAGAAGATAATATTTTTGTCAACATGAAGACATTGTGGCTCAAAGAACACTAATTGATATCATCCATCACAACGAAATTATTGCAAGTGTACATATTTTAATAGAAAAATATTAATAATGCAGAGGATGTTAAGTATGGTCCTGCTATAGTTACCACAAAGAAGGTGAGTAATATTGAAACAGATGGAATATCCTGGCCCACTAGCAATTGAAATGTTAATAAAAAAAATGTTTATGGCATATTTCCAATTCGAGACTAATGAACCAGATTAGCAACGCATGCCGTGTCCTGCCCTTTCTGAAGTACATTTTTTTAACATGCGAACGTGCATTTCTCTGGTTGGCTCATTAAAAAGAGTCTGTTAATATTTAATACATGGAAAATTTCTAGCAAGAATAGGTTAAGAGATGTTTAAATTCTCATTTTTTCTTTTGTTCCAACATAAGTTTGATATCTCTTTAAAACTTCAGAACATGTAATTACATTTTTGCATCTGGATTTATTCAGCTTTTGTGAACACAGTACTGGAACTTTGGGTTCCATAAAAGCAGGAAATTTGAACACCACGTAAGAACAGNGCATCTGGAAAAACGACGTGAAAACCTTCAAGAACTACTGGTTACACAACGACATCCTTGGCAGAATCACAAACGGACAGATCATAGTGAACAACCTCTAAATATCAACTTGCAAAAACAAACATAAGCCTCCATCTATATGTCATATTATAGATAATATGAACCATTGTTAATTGTTAACTGTTGATTGTTTATTGATACTGTTATTATTTTTACAGCCAAATAAATTACTATTAGGGAGAAAAAAAAAATCTATCTATCTATCTATCCATTCCTGTTGCTCCCACTTGGAGCGGAGGACATCCGTGAAACGCTTCGTTTCCCTTCAGTTTTTTTTAATTTCAGACAGTTGGTAGGACTCCTTGGACTGGGGATCAGCCCAACGCAAGGTGATACCTACACAGGACAACACAAACACAGAATAAACACAGACAAATATCCATGCCTTGAGTGGGATTCGAACCCAAGATTCCAGGGTTCGAGAGGGAGAAGACATTTCATGCCTTAGACCACACAGCCACTGTGATCGGCAAACAGTTTACTAGGTCTTTCGAAATCCTAATGAACGGGCTAGAAAGATCTATTACACCGGGCATAAAACGAGAACAACCCATTACTCATGTAATATCGATGATCGTTTCCTCCGAAATTATCGCATTTACGCCTATTTAGCGTATGAAATTTAATAATAGCAATTGTTCTTCTTCATCGCTTATGTGAATTCAAAGGCAAAGAAGAGAGATTAATTTAGTACTTAAGTCTTGCTTTTACGGAATAAATAATAAGCTTCTCACAAGGAAAATACAAGCAACAAGTATCTTCTGAGAGTTGTTTTCAGTGTCGAAACTATTGCCACTTCTTCTTTCTGTGAATTATTCTCGCTGAAGTTCGAGTTTTGTTTATTTGCAAAGGTTCAAGACCATTTCAAACAGCCATACTTCACATACTTCAGCAATAAACTGAAAATATTTCTCACTCTTGCAGGTTATTAACTCCCTTTATTCGTCAATTGTTTTGAAGACGAAAGCGTTGTATTTCCAAATTGAGTTGGGTGAGGCACGCAGTATATATATGCGATAAATGACAGATGTAGAAATTCTGGTGGAAAATGCTGAGTAGAAGCGATACTGGGAAGTATAGTCATGAAGGGAGGTGGACACTAAAATGTGCCTTAGAGGAACAGCGTCCAAACATGCGCAGTGGATTCAACTGTGAGTATAGGGACCAAGTGCGGGGTTTTGTGGACATGTGGATAGAACTTCGGACCATGCGAATTACCTATTTCATTTGTGATTCTCACAACCGTAGTTATGAAGAATTCTATTTTCTGGCATATAATACTGAGTATGATGGAAGGTGTACTAGTGAAATTAAATCCAGGATTGCCATGGCAAAAGCTGCATTTAGCAAGAAGAAGAATCTTTNGGGCGGATAGAAGTGACAAGAAGACGAGGAAGAAGACGTAAGAAGATGCTGGATGACCTTGGGGACAGAAGAGGATACTGTCATTTGAAGGACAAAGCTCTAGATCTCATTAAATGGAGGAATTGTTTTGGAAGAGACTGTAGACCTGTCGTCTTGACAAATTACTGATGATGATGATGAATACTGAGTAGTCTTTGAAAGTCAACCGACATTTTGCAGGAACAAGTCGCCTCAATCTTCAAAGTCGAAGAATAAGCCAAGCAAGAAAACCCCGTTCCCAGTGACTAACAAGCGACAATAAATTTGGTTGCAGCCTTGTCACACACACACACAGCCTCTTTAGAAGGAGGAGATGAGGAAATGAGAGAGAAAATCTCTTTCGTTTACAAAATTATTGCGCTAGAAAGAACAAGTATGATTCCTGATTCTTCGCTTTCCTGGTTATACAAATCGATTTGGTTCTATCAGCATTGTCCAGCATTTTGCAACCAATTCCACCGCCAATTATTGATCATCAGTACTTCAATGTCTTTCTGTATTATCAGACCACCTGATTTTGGGTCCACTTTGGCTCTTCTCCCTTGCGGCTGCACTCTTTACTCGTATTCCGCAAGTCCCACACTTCAATCTCTGTCCTCTCAGGCAAATTCTGACAGTACCGCGATGCAGGTCACGGTGGTCCCCGTCCGAACAATTCTCAGTTCATCATTCACAGTCATCCTGTTATTGCATGTTGTGCAACACGCACAGACAAGAGAAGGTATGATTAAATAATAACACAAGAACATAATTTTGGGAGCGGTAATACATATGATTGATGAAGGTCAATGAAAGCAGAATCACGAAAAAAATCACGAACTTAAACTCAAGTTAATGTCAACGGTCCAGAAAAGCGAACCCGATCTGAATAATTTGTGGGTCGAACATGCTACCACGTTCATACAAAGGGATTTCTGTTCCTAATTACAATCCGAACCGCCGCCGCTGCAATCGGGAACAGAGCTTCATTCAGTTTTCACAACCTGTACACACTGGCTTCTACAATTTAATGCTGACGATCCAATTT